AACTCTTCCATAGAGTTTCAAACCCGTTCAGAGTTATCAACTCGATCAGAGTTCAAAACTTGCTCTGCAAGTTCTTCTAAAACTCGCTCTGAGTTATTAACTCGTTAAGAGTTATTTTTAAGACTCTTTTTCAAGAGTTTCGAACTCGATCAGAGTCATCAACTCGTCCAGAGTTTCAAACTTGCTTTGCAAGTTCTCCACAGCGTCAAATCGTGAGGAGAAGACCACGTTCCAGTGAATCAAGACGTTCGGATCGTCAACGAGAAGCAAACTCGACGCGAGCATTCGAGGGAGGCATCTCATCGCCACCGTGAAGAACCCGGAATTAAATAAAGGGGAGAATCAAATTTATTCTCCTCTCTTTTGTAATCGGAATCCAAATTGTAATTGATTTTGAGAGGAATACAAGTCAAATTTTTCTTTCATTGTCTTTTTACTGCAAATTTTCCAACAAACAAGATCCAAGGAAGCAAGAACCCGACTAACATGCTTACGAAGACTGTCACTATGGAGAAACTGAAGTTGTGTTCAACTTCAGTTGGTATCATTAGTTGATAATATGGGAGGCCGTTGCCGTAAGGAAAGGTCATAAAGACTGAAAGTTAGTCTCTAAGTGAGAGATTGTTGGGCTATATGGAGCCTAACTATCATACTCGACCCTATTAGCTGCATTGAAGAGAAAAACAGGCAAGAACAAGAAAAACGAAGCAGACAACGTTTTGGGTGCTGGCCAGTCGACCGCGAGGCAAGGCCTGGTCGACCGAAAAAAATACACACTACAGGGTGTGTTTCTGCATTCTGGCCGATTGACCGCGAGGCTAGGCCCGGTCGATCGCGGACCCTATAATTGGTTTCCTGAGATTTTGACGTTCTGGTCGGTTGACCGTGCCATTGTTGGCAGTCGATCGCGACTCGGGTTTGGACCTGAGCTCGTTTTATGGTCTATTTGAGATTCTTGTTTGTAAGAACCCTATGCTATAAAAGGGATGATTAAGGCATCTTGTAAATTAACCTGAGAATAGTGAAACTTTTTCTTACGGCGGTTATGGATGTAGCTTTTCTCGCTGAGAAGTGAACCACGTAAAATTCTCTGTGTTCTCTATGATTGTTCTTTTTTCTCTTCCTCATCTCTATTTCCAAATCACAACATGGGTTAGAAAACCCAACAGAAATGACTAAAAAGTGTCAATAATCATGAGTTATAGCTTTTAAATCATGAATTTTGTTCACTGAGAAATTTTTTATCAATGGGGCGAAACGATTAAAAATGGCCCAAAGTTATGAATTATAGCTCATGAAATTTTAAATTTTAAACTCCACTATATTATTTGCCAATGGGTCAAAACGACTAAAAATGACCAATAATCATGGGTTATAGCTCATGAAATCATGAATTTTTGTCACCTCAAATTTATTTGCTATTGTGTTGTAGCTACTAAAAATAGCTAAAAATCATGAGTTATAGCTTATAAAATCATGAATTTTAATTATCATTATTTTTTTTGCCAACAGATTGAAACCAACTTAAAATGACAAAAGATCGCTAATTATAGCTCATGAAATTGTGGATTACGACTACCACAAAATTATTTGCAACTAGTTGAAACAACTAAAAATAGCCAAAAGTTATAGGTTATAACACATGAAATCATAGATTTTTAGCTCGCAATTATTTACCAACAAGTTGAAATGACAAATATGGCAAAAAAGTGGGTTCTAGCTCACAAAATTATGAATTTTGGCCACGCTAAAATTATTTACCAATGGATCGAAATGACTAAAAATCGCAAAAAAATCATGGTTATAGCTCAATCACTCATAAATTCCGACCTCTGTGAAATTATTTATTAATGGTCGAAACAACTAAAAATAGCAAAAAATTATGGGTTATAGCTCATAAAATCGTATTCTTTGGTCTCCACAAAATTATTTGCCAACAGACGGAAATAATTTAAACTAGCTAAATTTTATTTGCTCAAGAAATCATAAATTTTAGCCTTCAAGAAAATATTTGTTAATGGGTCAAAACAACTAAAAATGGTTACTAATCATGGGTTATGGCTCACAAAATCATGAATTTTGACCTCTGCGAAATTATTTGCCAGTGGGTCAAAATGACTAAAACAGGCCAAAAATCATGGGTTATAACTCATCAAATCGTGAATTTTTCCATAGCAAAATTATTTACTAATCAGTCAAAATGATTAAAATGACTAATAATCATGGGTCATAGGTCACAAAATCATGAATTTTAGTTATGTAAAATTATTTGTCAACAGGTCGAAATGAGTAAAAATAGCAAAAAATCATGGGTTGTAGCTCAACAAATCGTATATTTTTGCCACCGCTAAATTATTTGTCAATGAGTCAAAATGACTAAAAATGCCAAAATATTATGAGTTATAGCTCATCAAATCTTGAATTTTTACCTCATCAAAATTATTAGCCAACGAGTCAGCTGAAAATTTAAATGGTAAAAAATCGTGCATTATAGCTCACGAATCATTAACTTTGACCCCCGTGAAATTACTTGCCAATGGATCGAAATTACTAGAAATGGTTAAAAAATCGTGGGTTATGGTTAATAAAATTATGAATTTTGACCTCTATGAAATTATTTGCCAATGGATCAACATGATAAAAAATGGTCAATAATTGTGCATTGTAGGTCATGAATGAAATCATGAATTTTTTACTATGCAAAATTATTTGCCAATGGATCAAATTGACTAAAAATAGTTGAAAATCATGGATTATAGTTCACGAAATCGTGAATTTTGGTCATCGCGAATTTGCAAATGGCACAAAATGACTGAAAATGACCAAATATAGTGAGTTATAGTCCTTGAAATTAATTACATGTCATAAAGAGTTACAGATTTTTTTAAACTAGAATATCATAAAGAGTTTAAGATTCTTTAAACTAGAATATTGTAAAGAGTTGCATGTCGTAAGCTACCGAGAGAAATTAATTATATACAATGACATTCAAAAGTCGGAAAGAGGCTGATATTTATTTATTTTTTAGAAGAAGGTAGATATTATTTTAATACAATGACAATTATCTTTAGAGATTAGGTTTCCTATGACATTTTGATACCGGTGCATGCATGTCCTAAGCATATATAGTACAGAGGTAGTGATTACCTACCTGTTATGTGGTTCTACTTAGTTAATCTCAACTTAATCTCATATGGATTTATATTATTCTACATTAGTTAGATGACAATTAGATCAAACGAGAGAGAGAGAGAGAGACAGAGAGAGAGAGAGAGAGAGATTGATGCTGAGTTTTTCTTTTTCTTTTTCCTTTTCCAAGGAAAGACGCCGAGTTGGGGTTTTTGCCAAATAACAAGCCGAAGATGAATGCCAAGGGGAGTGGGAAAATGGCAATTATTAAAGGAATTCAATTTCATTGTCTAAAGTCACAAGTTTATAAGTTCAAAAAATTCTAGAAACTTATAGGTAGTTTAGTATGATGGGTTGTTCAAACTTTTCCTTTAATTTGGTTATGAAGAGTCTAACTTGTCAAAATCAAGAATAGTTCATTATCAAAAATCACAAGAAAAGAAAATTATTAAACATTCCAACAATACAAAAAAAAAATTGTATACCGTTATTTCACGTAGCCCCCCCACACACACACACACACACACACCGATAAGTAGAAAACAAGAGTTCATGAGACATGTACAATGACCATCTAAAGTTTTGCATAAGCAAGTTAACTACCTTTTTGTTCTAATCATTTATCTTCTACTTGCTTCTTCTATTAATTCCTTAATGATACCTTGCTTCTCTCACTAAGGAGAGTGTCATGCACCTAATCATTCACCTAGACATCATATCATATTATATATCAAGCGATTAATTACAATTTTAAACTAGATGAGTTTTAGGGCCCGTTTGGATGGGGTATTTTGCCCCAAAAATTGGGAGGAAAGCTGCCAAAATGGCAGCTTTTTGGCAGCTTTTCTCCAAAATCGCATTTTTAAGAGTCAATTTTAAGGAAAAGTTGTAAAAAAACTACTATTTTGACAGCTTTTCTTTCAATTTTCGGGACAAAATACCCCATCCAAACGAGTCCTAAGAGTGCATGTTACTAAAGTCAGTAGAAAGAGGCAGCCTGCTCCCTCGTACTATCAATTCCCCATGAAAAGACTACTTGCTAATCAATGACAAACACTGTTTGTTAAATTTAAAGTAATCTCAGCTCGCAAGTCATCATACACGTGCGCATGACGCACGTGACGTGAGTAGCAGTTGGTTTGAGCGGGTGGGAGAAGTTCACCGAATCTCACGCTTGTGTTCTATATATTCTCTCACGTGAGAACTGAGAGTGCTTGGTTTAGCCCAATTTTCGTGTTTATTATACTCAAGAATACATGTATAGGAGAGGGAAATTTATGGAAAGCACCCTTACTAGTTAGGTAATTGCTCAAATTAATACCATTTTCAGTTTCAGAATTCTAATTTACCTTTCTAAACTTTCATTACGCAAATGATATCCGCACGAATTGTAGATTGATTTACACTAGGTGATGAGATACTTCAAATATGGAGCAATCGATTTCATGTGCTCAGCCTGAGATAATCGAGTTTTTCAATCTGTATAATCAATACGCATTGACATAGATGATGAAAAAAAAAAATCAAAGCTCTAATACTTAATGTCTTGTAAGTATAATTTTTTTTCGTAATGAAAATATAAGTGTGCTAATCGGCAGTATGAAAGTTGGAGGGAGTACTAAGAAATTTTCCCTATAAAAAACGAAATCTCTCACCCCAATCTAAATAAACCACATTCATCCCATGTGGCCTCATGTGACCATTAATATGGGAGCAAATTAGGTGTTTACATACAAAGAGTTCGCATCCTTTCATATTAATATTAACACAACACCGCCCTGTTAGCTTTCTCATTCATTAGCCCCAATTAGTATAAAAACTTAAGTTCAAATCAACTTACCCTTTTTTAGAATAATAATCCAATAATCCACCGTCCCTCAAGCAACCCCCTATTAATGGGGAAAAAAAATAAAAACAAAAACCCATTTGTTGCTACTGATGCCAGATAAAAAGGAAAGGAAAAGAAACCCAAATTTCACTCTATTTTTAACAATCTCTCTACCCACAAGCAAAGCTAAAGCCTGCAAAAAGAGAATATAACCAGCAGCAGCATCAAATTCGAAGGCCTGAGCTTTCCCCCTTTATGCTTTCATTTTTTGATCTTTTGGCCAAATGGGTTGCTACCATAGCATCACTGGCATCAACCCAAAATCAGTGGAGAGAGAAAGAGCAAGGAATGAGCTTGTAGAGAGAGAAGAAGAGGGGAGGTATAGGAAAATGGTGATGGGTCTGAGCTTAATCCTGTCTATCTTTAGGAAAAAGGGTTGGTTGAAGAGGAGGAAGAGGAGAGAGGAGGAAGTTGATGGTGGGGTGGAGAACAAATCATTGTTATTGGCTAAGGATGGAGGAGAGAGGGGAGAGAGTGAGGATGAGCCTCAGTCTGTGCATTCTTCATTTAGGTTCAGCTTCGGGTCGCAGGCGGAGGCCGAGGAGGTCGGGGTGGGGCCTGGGGTGGTGGCGGAGGGGGCCGCCGTGGTGCTGCTTGTAAATTTGGAGGATGAGGGGGTGGAGACTGGAAAAGGGGAAGGGGATGAAGAAGGGGAGGTGGAGTTGAGAGAGAGGCAAAAATGGAGGAGGCTTGAGTCTTTGGAGAAGAGCATTACGCCAGTGGCAGGGTTGCTCGTGAGATTTAGTTATTCGCAGATTCGAGCTGCAACCCGAAATTTCTCAAGAGGTAATTTGTTGTGTTATTAATGTTGTTATTGAAGCATATGTTCTGGTTATTGCAAGTGTTGGTTTTTAGTTCTCTAGTATGAAATTGGTGTTGAAACGCTGAAACCTGGTTGAGATTTTGCAGGATTGAATACTAGTGTTGTTTGTTTTACATGTGTGTGTGAGAATATGAAGTTATAATTCTCAACTGTCATGGTAACTTTTACGTTTTAGCATACTAGCACGAACGTTAAGAGGATCTTATTGGTTTTTCTTTTTTATTCTCGTAGTCATTTAATTAAAATCTGTGTTTTAAAATTGACGTAAAAATACAAGATCTTTATACTTGGGTTTTACAAAAGTACGTTGCTACATTGGCAAGGCATTGGTCTTCAATTAAGTTCTAAGGTATCCTTACATGAAAGAACTTTCTTGGGAAATAGTAGGATGGTCATCAGAGAATTGCCTAGTGCCCATCTTCCGCAATGAGGAAAATGGAAAGGCAGAAGAGAAGAATGTAAAGCAGAAGAAAGAAGAAGAGAAGGAAGAAGCAGGTGAAAGATGGCAGAAAAGCTGACATCATACTAGTGGATTGTCAGCGTAATAGAACAATTCTTATTCGCTATTGGAGAAGCAAGTAAATGTCTTAAGTTCATCGAAAAGTCAAATTGAAATCTGATGTCAATGCTCGCATTGCATTTTTAATTTTGTGCTTGAAAACATCTCCAATACATCATGAATTTCGGCAAGTACCAAAATGGAAATTCAACCTTATTCTCGAAGTACCAAAGGATCTGATACACAGACCCAATTATTGCAATATTAGTGCTTCCTAGCTTGAAACTTCCCCCTTTATTTAGGCCTTTTTGCCCTTGCAAATCGTGTTACAATATGGAGCCTTTTCAAAGTAGAATGTTGCATTGTAGGTAGCTTCATTTTTTTAATGGTCTTATCAAATGGTGGACAACACCAATTTGTGTCTCTTTCCAGAAATTTTGCTGAAATTTAGCATGTAAATAACTTCTCTGAAATTTAGCTTGTAACTCTTGCATGCCAACTTTTCCAGTATCCCCCGTTTATGATGTGATAGTATGTTGAAGACAGAAAATCCAAATGGCAGCGCAATTGGGAAATCTATTCTTGGAAGATACAGTAAGCAATGAAATGATTTCTTTATGTCTAAAATAGGCAACAAATCAACAATAAAGACCTAAGGTTATTATATACCAAAAATGATGCTGAAACTAGAAGCTTGGTACTTGTATTTAACAGTTACCTTGCTCCTTTGTAGATACTAGATGAGTGAAACATAACTGTGATTTATTTTCTCGTTGCCTAATTATTCTCAGGGAGGGAGCTTGGAAGAGGTGCACTTAGTCGAGTATATAGAGGGAGAATCGGGGTTGGTCGAAGTACTGTGGCCATAAAGAAAGTTGAGGGGCAGGATCGTGAAAGCGCCAAGGCCTTCTGCAGGGAGCTTATGATAGCAAGCTCCCTTCACCATCCAAATATTGCCCCTCTCCTCGGCTTTTGTGTTGACCAACAAGGTCTCTTCCTCGTTTACAAGTATGTTTCTGGGGGAAGCTTGGATCGTCACCTCCACCCTGATGGTATCTCGTCTTTTCCTTCTTTCTATTACTTTTTTTTAGGTTTATGTATATATACCTCGTAAATCAAGCATATTTGCAAAACTACCCTCAAATCTCACTATTTGCCAAACAACCTTCAAATTATCAATTTTGAAAAAAAACCCAAATCCAAAAAATCATCAACTTTGATAGTCTACTTTTTAACAATAATTTAGAAGTGTCAACAAAACATTAAAACTTTTACTCGCCATATCCAACAATGTTGATGATTATTGATTTGGGGGTACTTTTTCCTGAATTAGGGGCGTGTGATGCCCCTAAACTTAGTCCCAGTCGACTAATCAATGGGCATTTGAAGTGTTTATATGGTGAATTCATGGGCTCAAGTGTAGCATTGACTAGTTGATTTTTTGTACTGGTTTTAGCCAAACAATGCGCAACACATCCCATGGCTTACACCGAGCCAACGGGCTCGCGGGCCTGGGGTATGATAGGGAGTAATCTTGCAAATTATTAGATTTGGGGTAGTTATGCAAATACACATGACTTAAGGGGCATATACTCAAAAACCTAAATGTAGTTAACAAGTACTAATTCTAGCAATTGATATCGGTACTCAGATAAAAGACGGAAGGTATTGCCATGGGAGGTCAGGTATAAGGTGGCATTGGGGGTAGCACAGGCTATTGGATACTTGCACTTTGACACTGATAAGTGTGTGGTTCACAGAGACATCAAGCCTTCCAACATTCTCCTTTCCTCTGACAAATCTGCCAAAGTGAGATTCGTATTCCCTTCTTTATTCTTTTACTGCAGGTTCACGTGTAAAAGAAGTATTTAGGTAGTGGCAAATATCATTGGATGTAGATAATCTTGTTGCTTCCTAGGAAAATATGAAACCTTTGTAATTCTGTTTTGGAACTTATAAAACCATTTATGGAGGTTTGTTTTTCCTATAAAACAAAATGAGCACTGGAATCATGTTCTGTACATTTCTCGAGCAGCGAATTTGATTTTTGCACCCTTGCATTTTTACTTGCTCAAAATTTGATCTTGCCAGAACTTTTTTCTTCTCCAGTTATGCGATTTTGGATTGGCAACATGGACTCATGGACCTTCACTACCTTTCCTTTGCAAGGCTGTTAAAGGAACATTTGGGTAAAAATACCACCGATAAAACTTCCCAGTTCCTCTTGTGTGGAAATTGTGTGATTTTTAATTATTTTCCTTGTTGATGCAGCTATTTGGCTCCAGAATACTTCCAACATGGGAAATTGTCAGATAAAACTGACGTTTATGCATTTGGTGTGCTCCTGTTGGAACTAATTACTGGACGAAAAGCTATTGACCGGAGTAGGCCTCAAGGCGATGAAAACTTGGTTCTTTGGGTAAGTACTGAATACTAATAAGAATTCTATTTGTTAATTGACTGTTATTGATTTAAACAAATACCAAGTATTATTACCGGATATCATTAATTGAACCATTTGAATATTTCTTGTATTGTATCTCTCATATGGCCCTTGCAAGACCCAAAAGTGATGGGACCTCATGAACTTAACCTTTTTATGTTGTATTTCTTCGCCCATCGTGCACTGAGTTACCCTTGTTTTAATTGCAAGATTATTGCCTCTCTGCGAATGAAAACTAGAAAAATAGTAGGGTCAACAGATTAAGAACTCAGCTAGCCAAAATGGGGGAAAAGGGGGCAAAAACAGTTGAAGCAGTAAGAGCAAAGAATATTTTTAAGCTACGTTCTTCAGTCCATCAATTTAATTTCAATGGTTAGGTCATTCAACTTAGTGTTTCTAGAAGAATATCATTTTGTTTTCTTTATAAATAACATATTTAAGTTCCCTTATTTTTATTGCCTACATAACCCTTGCAAATAGATCTTTCTAGAACCAACTACAACAACAACAGAGCATTTTATCTCAAATTTTAGGGGCTGGCTACATGAATCATCTCCATTAGTTCATTTCTGATAAGGAATGTCTCCATTAAGTTAACTACTATATCTTTTAGACCTATTCTAGTCTTTCTTGCTCCAATAATTATAATCTTATTACTTCTCCTAAGGAGTGGAAGAGTAGAACTCGTTAGTATCCAAAAATATGGGATAAAGGCTTTGTTGTTGTTTTTATCACTTGTAAATCCGTGCATGTAGTGGCCTCTTTTGAACATGTCCAAATCGTCTCAATAGATTCTCTCTTTTTATCCTCAACAAGGACAACCTAACTTCCTTCAAGCACGCTCTTTTTTAACCATCCTTGTTTCATAGAATTGTCTCATGATTAAAGCTAAGAGTAATATCTTAAGTTTTAACATACATAACTGAACCTTTGCAGGCCAAACCCTATCTCCGTCAAGGTGAGAGAGCCATGGAGAAGTTCATCGACCCAAATCTAAAACCAGGATCATACGGTTGGGGTGAGATGACCCGAATGGCTCGTGCAGCTTCAGCTTGCCTACGCTCCGAAGAATCAACAAGACCGAGCATTGATCAGGTCATCAAGATGCTTCAAGCTGAAGAAGAGTTCAGTTGCAGCACAGACTGGTCTGTGTTCAGTGGCAACCACAGTTGTCTCTTTTCTGGGCCATTGAGTTCTCAGTTTTATGGACAAGCACAAGAGAAGTCTGATATCATGAGAGGTCACTTGGCTCTTGCAATGTTGGGGGTCTCTGACTCTGACTCTGATGAATCATACAGTCGATAACAACACTTGACAAGGATCCGTAGGCTGTTAGTTTTTAACATGGAAGAAAAAGAATAGCAAGACAGAGGCAACCCCCCCCCCCCCCACCACCCACCCACGCCTTCATGCTGAAAAGGCTACATAGCACTTAAATGTCATATAGCTTCACTCACTTAGTACTTATATACCCTCACCTGTCTTTTGCAGTATTTATGCCCCTAGTTGTTTAAGATTGGCAACACTATATAGCAAAATTGAGATGAAAATTTTCATATTTGCATAACATAAGGTGCTAGCATGCAATTTTGAAAAACACGAGGCACATAAATGTTTGTGAAAGTGAAGGTATCTAAATGCAAAGTGAGTGAAACTGTATGGTATTTTAAGTGCAATTCAGCCTCGAGAAAACCGTGATATTTGATGTAAATTCATTTGGTTCCTCTTTATTTAGATTTAGTATCGGAGGAATTGTTGTGTACTAACTGCAAATCTCTCTGTATGAGAGATAATGCTCACATATCTCTGTAGGACAAAGGGAAATTCACTCAAATGAATGAAACTATATTTCTGACACACCGATAGTGTGAAACTTCTGGTGTAATATTTTGCAGGTTATGGCATGATTCACACAATTTTACATATTGTTATGTAAGGTGAATATTGCCATCTAGTTTTGATAGTCAATGTTCGACTCGGCAGGTTGAATACTGTGGGTTTCTTTCAAACGTATTTAAAGGTGAAGCAGAACAACTGAATGCATTACACAGACATGTACTGGTTTTTGAGGAGTATTAGCTCTCGAGGATGTCTTGGAGAGTATGCTAGGATGGTTAAATGCATAATTTTGGAGATGAAGCAGAACAATTGAACGCATATGTCCAACAAGATTCATATTATTGTATTTCCTTTGTAGGATCTGTCTATTTTATTGGATTTAAATTTGGAGTTAGTCTATATGAGGTAAATGATCTGAGTTTTTTAAAAGGGAAAAAAAATCTTATAATTAACTTTAATAATGACTTTTTCCCCCCACAGAATGAAAATAATATGTTTTTAAGAGAATGAACTAAAATTTGAGAATATGACTTTTTGGGCAGAATTGGCGCAGGTCCCAGCTGAACTTATCAATTTTATTTGTTGATGGTAAGAATAGCTATTAAAATCTTAGAAAAGGAGGGGCTCCCGAAAACTTTTGAACATGTGAACAAGCAGGACATTTGAGAATATGTTAACTAGTAATTACTTAAGATTTAATAAAATCAACTAACCAATCATATGAATCTAGATAGTGATATAGAAGGGGGATGTGCATGGCTTAGTGTATCCACCCACCAACCCACTTTAGGGCTAGATTCTTTCAATTGCTTGCATTTCAAAGCCATGATATTCTTCTCACACCACCATGATGCATCTTAGTTGTAGTATAGCAAGAGACAGGAACATCAAATTATTGTCCAAGGAAAAAGTGGATAAAGGGACATATGACTTTATGAAGGCATGATACTATTACATAAGCTAAAGCGATATGATCTATATTGGATGAAAAATTCCTCAATGACCCAAAATATGGGACCAATAGAGGGGACAAGTGAGGTGTCTCCCACCTATTGGATAATGAGTTGGCCATCATTAATGTTGGCCAACTCATTATCCAATAGGAGGGAGACACATCACTTGTCCCCTCTATTGGTCCCATATTTTGGGTCCCTGTAGCAAAGCTCATATTGGATCTTAACAATGATATTCGTGGACAAACAAATCTATATTTATATCTATACTACATATAAAAGAGGATTGGGGTGCAAAAACTTTTGATTTCCCCTTTTACCCCTATTAAATTTGATAATTTCAATTTTACTTTAATTATTTTCTTTATTTAATTTATCTCTCATTGAGTCTTAAATTAATTAAATTAAAAATCATCATAATAACGAGATTTAATTAGTTTCTTAGGCTCTTAGAGATTCCATAACTTAATTAAATGCATATGTTATGGATCTAATTAATTAACCACTCTTTCATTTTCCTTTACATAACCTCTTTTTTCATCTCTACACTATAAATTATGGTCATCCATTCTTTTCAATCTACCACATCACCTACTAAGCCAAATTCCTACACCAACGTAATGGTTTATGGAATATGTTATATGAAAAGTTTACCAAATGATTGATAGTGTATGTGGCTTTTATATGTATGTGCACGTGAATACATTGGATAATATTTGTTACATAGTTTGCAGACTTAAAGATTTATTTTTTATGGAGTTGAAGACTATGTCTCATGTTTAATTTAGCTCTTGATTTGTATTTTGTCTCTTGGATCCTTGAAAAAGAGAGGATAATAGACTATAGAAAGATTATTATTTTGAAGTATTGATATTTAAGAGCATGCATAAATCTGATTTGGGAGCCAGGGTTTGTTTTTAGTGTGTGTATGTGTGTGTTTTTTTTACTGTGGATTAGGTAAAATTCTTATTGATCTTTTAATTCTTAGAATTGAAAGAATGTATACTCTTATTTTTAGAGTTTATGAAAAACTATTTAAATATTTTTCCTCCTTGCACAATGTTATAAGGAGATTTTCGTGCTATTTATCATAAGTTGTGCTTTTTATTTTGAATATAGATCATAAGTTGTGCTTTCTTGTTCATTAGATTTACACATGGTTTAATTCTTAACTAATTACTTGGTTCGTATGCACTTTAAGTTCAGAGATGCTATCAACTTATCCAATGCTTTCACTATCTCTTGTCATTTTGATCTTCTTACATTTATTAAGCATCTTTTATGGTCTTTCATTAATAATTATGTTGAATCATAAAACTTTGTCTTCTTTTTTATTAATTACCAATAAGTTCTTTATTCCTATCAACTTTAGCTACAAAGATTAACTAATAAAACATAATGGCTATCTTTCTTCTCCTCATTAAGTAAATCAAAATACAAAAACCTATATATGATATATTTGATTGAATTGCATAAATATTTTGATTTCTTATATGAAATCCAAATTATTTGTCTCTTGATTGAGATTCTTTAATTTGAATTATATAAAATTTCCATTAACTGAGCTATTCAAACAATATCTTTATGACTCTGTTTGGCAAAACTAGCTGAAAGCTATTAAGCTAGCTGAAAGCTATGAAATTATAGCTGAAAGCTGATAGCTGTATAGCTAGCTGATTGACTAGAGCTGTTTGGAAAAAGTAGCTGTACAACTAGCTTAAATTTGTTAAATGACTAAAAAGGAAATGCAATATTATTGATATAAAATTAGAATTATTAGGGGCAAAAATGGAAGAAAAAAATTGGCAGCTCATTCCCAAAGACAAACACTACTTGAGGTAGCTTTCCAAAAGCTACTTGTAAAAGACACAATCTCCAAAATAATCTTCTCCTATTTTTGGTCACCAAACAGCTCTGCTAGCTTATTGACCAAGTCAGTAAGACACAATCTCTTAGATAAGACACAATCTCTTGTTGCCAAACAATGCCTATATCGGTTGTGATTCCGTCTTACTACTATAGCTTTTGTAATTTTACATCTAATAACAATTATCGCTATTCCAACAAGATACTAGATATTTGATATTAATTTTTTTATTTAATGACATCTAATAACAATTATCGCTATTCCAACAAGATACTAGATATTTGATATTAATTTTTTTATTTAATGCCGTTTGTAACTTTCGTGCATGATATATTGAGAATCAATATTCCAAAAGTAAATATCCTATCGTAAGTACATATTTGAGAATCAATAACGTAGAATATATTATTTACTAATACTTCTTAAGCCAAATATGCCACGTGCAACGCACGTGTGGCATACTAGTATATCCAAAGTTTTGATCCACTTCTTAGTATCATACATTTAATGTATATTTTAGCTTGATTAATACATGTAAGTAGCATTAGCAATGTCATTATCATACATTTAAAAATGGTTAGTCGCAAATAGACCCCCTATAGTATTACCTAATTGCAAGTAGGCCTCGCGTAGTTCTATTTGTGTGAATAGTCCCCTTGAGAGAATTTTCCTTTATTTAATTTTTTCTTTATTTTTTATTTTTTACTCTAAAAACATTAAAAATGATTTGTGGAAGCGGATACCCTAAGGTTCTATTAGTGAGGATAGACTCCCAATTGTTTTTTTTCTTTTTCTAGATTTTTAAAAATTGAAAAAGCTCATTAATGGGGCGTACTCGCACTTGTGCCAATACTAGAAGGGATTTATTCGCAAAAATAGAACTCATTCATGACTGAGTGTGATACTATAGGAGGTCTATTAACATTATTGAAGAAGAACTGACCTGTGTGCAGGCGGCGTGGAGGCGACGCGGGTGAAGAGTCGCCTGTTCGAGATCGCAGGCGAGGTGTGAGGCGAGGTTCGATCTCGCCTGCAGGCCAGATGCGGTGAGGCAACTTCGAGCTCGCCTGTAGGCGGGGCTGGACAGGCGAAAGCAAGGTGTCGCCTGTCGTGTGCGTGGGGCTCGAGGTGATCGTGAAGCTCGGCGTGGAGTGGAAGCCAGCTGGTGCCAGCTGGAGGAGGAGCTCGCCTCGCCCTAGGGTTTCCCTATAAAAGGGAAACCCTTGTTCACAATCCGATTAGAGCGAGCAAGGCAGAGAGATTGGCGGCGGAGCTTTGAGAAAGCAGAGCTCTCTCCGATTTGGGATTTAAATCCCTTTCGTTCTCTGTGATTTGGTTTTCCCCTTTTGTCCTCTTCTCATTAATTTGTGGAGAAGGAGTTGGTGTATTTATTTGGGGAAGTTGAGTTATCTAAGAGAGATTGAACAGTGTTTTAAGTTAAAACATTGTTATTGTTTTGAGAAATCTCAAGCTTAAGATCTTCTCTCTTATTTGTAATTTCTTGTGGAATAATAAGAAATTATTTGTGTCGCTCCCGTGGACGTAGGAAAATTGGCGAACAACGTAAAATATCCGTGTTTGTGATTTGCTTGTCATTATTTATTGGATTGTACTCGTGTTGAGTTTGTTAATCTTCTCCGTGCTCACGGACTCGTTCGGTGTGCGAGCATGCTTCCACAAAGGCGCGCAACAATTGGTATCAGAGTTCCAGATTTAAGA